TGGGAGACAGGTGACCCTCTCACTCTGGGTCACTATCTGCTGAATTGTTACTACTGGGAGAGTGACAGGTGACCCACTCTCACTCTGGGTCACTATGTGACTGTACAGTTGACACTGGGAGACAGGTGACCCTCTCACTCTGGGTCACTATCTGCTGAATTGTTACTACTGGGAGACAGGTGACCCTCTCACTCTGGGTCACTATGTGACTGTACAGTTGACACTGGGAGACTAGTGACCCTCTCAGTCTGGGTCACTATCTGCTGAATTGTTACTACTGGGAGACTAGTGACCCTCTCAGTCTGGGTCACTATGTGCTGAATTGTTACTACTGGGAGACAGGTGACCCTCTCACTCTGGGTCACTATCTGCTGAATTGTTACTACTGGGAGACAGGTGACCCTCTCACTCTGGGTCACTATCTGCTGAATTGTGAATACTACTGGGAGACAGGTGACCCTACTGGGAGACTCTCAGTCTGGGTCACTATCTGCTGAATTGTTACTACTGGGAGACAGGTGACCCTCTCACTCTGGGTCACTATCTGACTGTACAGTTACTACTGGGAGACAGGTGACCCTCTCACTCTGGGTCACTATCTGCTGAATTGTTACTACTGGGAGACAGGTGACCCTCTCACTCTGGGTCACTATGTGACTGTACAGTTGACACTGGGAGACTAGTGACCCTCTCAGTCTGGGTCACTATGTGCTGAATTGTTACTACTGGGAGACTAGTGACCCTCTCAGTCTGGGTCACTATCTGCTGAATTGTTACTACTGGGAGACAGGTGACCCTCTCAGTCTGGGTCACTATCTGCTGAATTGTTACTACTGGGAGACTAGTGACCCTCTCCTCACTCTGGGTCACTATCTGACTGAATTGTTACTACTGGGAGACAGGTGACCCTCAGTCTCACTATCTGCTGAATTGTTACTACTGGGTGACCCTCTCAGTCCTGCTGAATTGTTACTACTGGGAGACAGGTGACCCTCTCACTCTGGGTCACTATCTGCTGAATTGTTACTACTGGGAGACTAGTGACCCTCTCAGTCTGGGTCACTATCTGCTGAATTGTTACTACTGGGAGACAGGTGACCCTCTCACTCTGGGTCACTATCTGCTGAATTGTTACTACTGGGAGACTAGTGACCCTCTCACTCTGGGCCACTATGTGACTGTACAGATGACACTGGGATACTGGTAACCCTCTCAGTCTGGGCCACTATGTGACTGTACAGTTGACACTGGGAGACTAGTGACCCTCTCACTCTGGGTCACTATCTGCTGAATTGTTACTACTGGGAGACTAGTGACCCTCTCAGTCTGGGTCACTATCTGCTGAATTGTTACTACTTGGAGACAGGTGACCCTCTCAGTCTGGGTCACTATGTGCTGAATTGTTACTACTGGGAGACTAGTGACCCTCTCAGTCTGGGCCACTATGTGACTGTACAGTTGACACCAACCCGAAACTGACTTCAGCAACCCATGCCTCCATGGTGTAGTCGTAGAGCGCCTGCAGTTTCGGAGAGTGGAAGGTCCGCGCAGTTCGATCCCTGTTCATCACTGATCGTCGTCCATACCAAAAGATGTTAAAATATGGTACTTGTTGGAACCTGCCTGGAAGGTCACGGGTTCGATCCCCGTGCTTAAAATATGGTACTTGTTGGAACCTGCCTTGTGCTCGGCATAAATGGGTACAACAAGGACTGGTCGGCTCGGAGTCAGTATAATGTGTTTGAGTGGGGTATTCATGCTTCACTGTGACAAGGTATATCAGTTGGTCCGCACATACACGTACACACACATGCATGTCGTCATATGGGCGAAACATTCTCAAGCACGATGTTAAACCCAATTTCACCTCACCTGACTAGGAGACTGGTGACCCTCTCAGTCTGGGCCACTATGTGACTGAACAGTTGACACTGGGAGACTTGTGACCCTCTCAGTCTGGGTCACTGTACCGTATGAGTCTCTATATCTGTGTATCAGAATGTCTCCATCGTGTGAATCTCTATATCTGTGTATCAGAATGTCTCCATTGTGTGTATCTCTATATCTGTGTATCAGAATGAGTCTCTATATCTGTGTATCAGAATGTCTCCATCGTGTGAATCTCTATATCTGTGTATCAGAATGTCTCCATCGTGTGAATCTCTATATCTGTGTATCAGAATGTCTCCATCGTGTGAATCTCTATATCTGTGTATCAGAATGTCTCCATCGTGTGAATCTCTATATCTGTGTATCAGAATGTCTCCATCGTGTGAATCTCTATATCTGTGTATCAGAATGTCTCCATCGTGTGAATCTCTATATCTGTGTATCAGAATGTCTCCATCGTGTGAATCTCTATATCTGTGAATCAGAATGCCTCTCGTGGTGAATCATCTGTGTATCAGAATCTCTATATCTGTGTATCAGAATGTCTCCATCGTGTGAATCTCTATATCTGTGTATCAGAATGTCTCCATCTATAATCTCTATATCTGTGTATCAGAATGTCTCCATCGTGTGAATCTCTATATCTGTGTATCAGAATGTCTCCATCGTGTGAATCTCTATATCTGTGTATCAGAATGCCTCCATCGTGTGAATCTCTATATCTGTGTATCAGAATGTCTCCATCGTGTGAATCTCTATATCTGTGTATCAGAATGTCTCCATCGTGTGAATCTCTATATATGTGTATCAGAATGTCTCCATTGTGTGAATCTCTATATCTGTGTATCAGAATGTCTCCATCGTGTGAATCTCTATATCTGTGTATCAGAATGTCTCCATCGTGTGAATCTCTGTATCTGTGATGGAGAGTGTCTCCATTGTGTGAATCTCTGTATCTGTTTCTGAGAGTGTCTACATCATGTGAATATCTGTATCTGTGTATGAGAGTGTCTCCATCGTGTGAATCTATGTCTGTGTGGGAAAGTATCTCAAGCTTGTAAATCACTATGTCTCTGTGTGAAAGTGTCTCTATATCTCTCTGTGAACGTGTCTAAATCGTGTACATGTGAATCTCTGTATCTGTGTGAAAGTGTCTCAAGTGTGTGAATCTCTATATCAGTGTGTGAAAGTGTCAAGCGTGTGAATCTCTATCTGTGTGTGAAAGTGTCTCAAGCGTGTGAATCTCTATATCTGTGTGTGAAAGTGTCTCAAGCGTGTGAATCTCTATATCAGCGTGTCTAAGTGTCTCAAGCGTGTGAATCTCTATATCTGTGTGTGAAAGTGCCTCAAACGTGTGAATCTCTATATCTGTGTGTGAAAGTGTCGCAAGCGTGTGAATCTCTATATCTGTGTGTGAAAGTGTCTCAAGCGTGTGAATCTCTATATCAGTGTGTGAAAGTGTCTCAAGCGTGTGAATCTCTATATCTGTGTGTGAAAGTGCCTCAAGCGTGTGAATCTCTATATCTCTGTGTGTAACAAATCACCGGTCACTCTCCTCCGGCGTGCATCTCCATATGATTACAGCTAGTAGATATCGGCGTCAACATGGCCCGGTGGTGTGCATGTCCAACGTCATCTTATCAATAGGTGGAGGCGCACTCGCAGCTTTGTGAATTGGTCTCTTTCACAGTGGATTTTCTGTGATATTTCTAAGAATGTTAATGAGTACAGTACATATGCCCAACACTAATTCATCCAAACGGCCCAACAACAAAATGTCGCAGGAGACTGAGCACTGGACAATATTGTCTAAATTCCACATTAGCTGCATGAGTTATTGATGTAGCAAGATATATATAATGTTAGGCTTCATTCTACCATGACTTCTTTGATTGGCATTCTACCATGCATACGGATAAATGAAAGTGGCGGTTCTGAGTCCCGTTTCACAAAGCTCTCGTAAGCCTTAGATCTCGTAACTTTTCTCGTAGCACAATCTTACGATTTTATGGGCGTTTCACGAAACTCTCGTAGGCTTACGATACCTTAATTTACATTTAAAATTACAATAAGAACTACGGTAAATTTCACTCATAAATGAGCTTTATTCTCGAAAGTCAAAAAAACAAAATGCCGTATTATATATTTTTAAAAGAGAAACTCAGCAAGAAAAGATTTAAAAACCAGCATGTTTTTTCGGGATCGGACATTGCCCCTGGACTATCGCATGGACAGGACCTCTTGTTTTGAGCTAATTAATCTCTTACAGGATCTTACAGGACACGTTAAACGTAAATGTGGTCCACGTGACAGTTTGAAAAATATCAATTTAAATGTGAGAATTTAATTTCCACTCTAAAGGTGAGGTGAAATTGGGTTTAACGTCGTGCTTGAGAATATTTCGCTCATATGACGACGTGCATGCGTGTGTATGTGTATGTGCGGCTGCTTGTACTAGCCTAGACTGAAGCTGGTTTTATAGTGCTAGCCCACTGAGATACCATACCGCAGTGAAGCATGAATACCCTACTCAGACACATTATACTGACTCCGAGCCGACCAGTCCTTGTTGTACCCATTAATGCCGAGCGCCAGGCAGGGACCAACAAGTACCATATTTTAACGTCTTTTGGTATGACGCGTCGGGGATCGAACCCGCGACCTTCCGCTCTCCTCCACTTTAGAAACCGTACAGAAATATATAAGAGATTCCTTGACACTTGACTGGCTGGTTAACGGACCAATTTATTTTCTTGAAAAAGGTCCATCTTCTGTACACAATCCTGTTTCGCGGTTGTCACCGAAGGGCGTGTCTTAAAAAGCTTAGATTCCTCGAGTATGTTAAATTCTATATTCCGGAATTTGTACGTCGATTGCTGAGATTTTGATTAAAATAACCGAACGATTTATATACATAACAAATAACCACCCACCCTTCTGATACAACTGGTAATTAGGGGTTTGAACTGTTCCCACTGAATCACAGCAGCAAATCATTTGTTGAGCTTAGCAGATGCAGAGTGTTGTCCCCTTTGAACACTCTTCAGCATTCCAGGCGCTTCCTGTGTAATGGCGCGTCGCGATGTAAACAAAATATGACAAACCGTATATTTGCTCAGTGTGGTTTCTTTATTTCAAGGTATCTGTTACATTTCAATGTATCTATAAACGATGCAAAAACAAAAACACAGATCTGAATTATTAATATTGTTTCTGATAAGAAAATATTTTACAAATCTGACATTTCGATTAGAAAGCGCATAACTATGTAGATAGACTATATTTCTATTACCAAATTACCGAAATCTTTTTTTCGTTTCTGTACGCAAACTCACCCAACATATGAGTATCAGCAGTACCGTTTGCCTTTTTTCTATTATCGGTATGTGACACGTACTGGAGGTGTTATCAAATGATAATATCTTTTGCAACCGTGGGACAACAATAATACTGTTAATTTTATACCTTTTATTTTAAATCATTTTACTTACTTAAGAGCTTGTGAACAAACGATGTAAGGACAAATTAATTAACTGACACCAGTACAAATACTTTAACAATTACAAAAACATAGAATTATGTACTAAGCAGCTACAGTGGTTGAATAATGAAAATTCTTCTTGCACGATTTAAATGACATGCAGGTCTATGGGAATTTCAATAATGATGACTAACTTATGGCCAACTACTGTAGACATTAACATTTTGCTATATGATGACAGTCATTTTCTTCTCATCCCAGTTTCAACATTACAGGGAGCCATGAACATTGAAGTCAGTGGGCGCATCCGTCCCCTTGTCCCAGGGGAGGGGAAGGAAAACGTATCAGTTGAAGGAACACAGAGGTTGACAGCACCAGGAGGACATTTCTTCAAGTAAATACTTACCTTTTTTAAAAACTATGCATTTTTTACATAAGTTTCTTTCATGTTGATATCAATGTAAGGTGTCCAGTATTAAGATTAATGTGTTTCTTTTCAATTTTATCCTTTCATTATAATGGCAATGGTTATTGGTGTTAGTTAGGGATGGAAATGGGGATTCTTGGGTCGGGGAAACCCCACCTTCTGAACCCCATACCTCATGGGACCAATATCACTGTAAAATAACTGAAATGCAGACAAAGACCTGTCTGTGTTACTGTGTTATTAAACCCTGACCCTCCCCTATATTGAGATAAAAAGTTTAGAGCCGCCCAGGGTTTACGCATCACAAATGTGCATTGGTTATGCACAAATGTATAGAATTGACCAGAAATAAGTCTCATGCAGTGTTTTACCATGACTTACAAAAGTGCTGGTCCAGGGACCCCCATCAATACATTTTACAGTTCCTTGTCGGTAATATGAGGGTCCTGTCAAGTATTGAAATGATGTTGTGTACGGTACGTTCAGATAATGACTTCAGAGCCTGAAATGAATCAGTGATCATGTGGACAATGGTCATGACTGATGGGTGAAATAACACACACAGATAACTAATCTTGATGTGCTGTAGGTATTTTTGTGCGTCTCTCCGGATGCAGTATTTGGGGTTTTCAGCATCTATTATCTAATTTTTTGCAGACTGGAGGCATGTTTGTGCGTTGCGTAAAACCTTCTTCTCATGTCACTTCTTTCACTATATTATAATTTCTTTAAAAGTGTCAAAAATAGTTTGGAAGGATTTCTAGAAACTGCTTTATGTAGATAGATATCAACTTTTAGCAAAGCTGAAAAGATGGTTTCAATTTTCTAGTTTCCAGAACCTTTTCATGAGGGATTCTACCACGTATGACATCTTCCGGAACACGGTAGAGCTGCTGCTGGAGATGCTGATGTCAGGCTTCAACGTATGTCTGCTGGTGACGGGGGAGAGTGGGTCAGGCAAGTCCTACACCATGGCAGGCGAGAGCAGTGCTAGGGCGGGGCTAGTGCAGATGGTCTTCGACTACCTCTTCGCCAAACTCATGGAAGGTGGGCTGCTGAAACAGAAATGATATCTTACTGCAAACTGGGCTCTTGTGCTCCAAATGTGAACAAATGTAGTATATTTGTACCAGTAGTGGGGCTCAACATATGTGCTCCCCTTCTTGGCTGTGATATAACCTTTGCACTTCAACTATAATGTCATCTGACACTTCTTATGGCCATTACTGAGATTTTTGTTTTCAAAATAGCATGGTATTTGGGACTGGTTGATGTTGGGCTCACATTTATTGTATTGTTTGCATGATTTAAATTTCCACCTTGATTTTACTTTTGGAAATAATTCACATAAAAAAAAATGAGTTACAAATGACCCATTCTTTTATGAAGCAGATTACTAGGGACCAATTGCTATGAGAAACGAGTAACCTTGGATAAGTTCACATAAGAAATGGATTAAAAGGGACAAGTTCATGTTAGACTGGGATTACCAAGGACCGGTTCATGCAATAAACACATGATAACATACAGAATTATGTGACATATATCCCTACTATTTCAGACACATTCAAGTCGGATACAAAGACCAAACGCAAAAACCCCAAAGTGTACATTCAGATGTACGAGATCTATAATGAGATGGTCAAGAAGCTGTTGGAGGTTCCCCCAGGGTCAACCTGTGTTCTCAGACATCACAGAGTCCGCAGACAAGGGCATCCATGTCCGAGTAAGTGATAGCTGTACACCTGTCATAGTACTTCAGTGTATTCTGTACATCCAATGTACGATAATCAGGATATCGTAAAAGCGTACCTGAGTATGTTCCTGTTATGAGCACACAATATACTGGTCTTACAATATCGGTATGTTCTGTAATTATATTTATATTTTAAAGATATGTTTTACACATATTAATGAAGCCATAGCAACATTGGATTATAGGTTATCATCTGATGATTTTATGGAGAACAAAGTGCAGACAAGCATTAATATCCCAGGATAAATGGAAGAAATAGTATAATATATTTAACACATCTTCTGCTAATGAGTGCATGACAGAATTGGGGTTTAGGTGTTTTCAGGATATCTGTCTATCTAGCAGTAACTTTTATATGACGATTTCACTGTGTTTAACATCTTTGCTGATATTGCAAGGCCAATGGAAATTAACTTTGTATGACTTTTCCAAACTTGTCACAGAATGCTCGCACAATTCTAATCTTGACTTTGCATGGTGCCATCTCAATAATTCAGGTGAGACACAGAGCCTTGTGACTGTAGCATTGTTAGTAAGGATTTAGAGGTGGGAGTACATGATCATATATACTACTATCCTGCTACTGACACACGTTGTCGGACAGTGAGTGGTTGTTTGCTGCTACAGAAAGCTCTACCAGTACATGTGAAGAACGCAAGTGATGCTAACCTCCAGTTCCGCTCTGGCTGGGGGCGGAGAACAGAGGCTTCAACAGACTATGGGCCAGCACAGAATAATGCAGCCATCTTACTCAATATTGATCTTCATATGGTGAGTGACAGAATTTCATATGACACTGTTTGACAAAAGTAGCTGAGCAAAGTCGCACTAACATTCCTGGAAAGATTAAAGGGCCACTAATCCAGAGCGATTAATGTTTCCAGCCAACAGTCTAATTACGAAACCTAGCTGCAAACTGGCCAGCCCCTGCTCCCTCTACCGTGACGGACACGGGACTTGGCTACTGTCCACCTTGGCAGAATTTCTTCAACCTAATCAGTGGGACATTAGGAAGAGTGGATGCCCATCAGATGGCATTATTTGAAAATATGCCCGGTAGTTCTTGTCTGATTGTAATAAAGTATCCCAGCAGTGTAGGCTTTTTCAGATTTTCAAATGTTTTGAAGGTATAGTGACTGATCCAATTTGATCCTATTTCTGTGTTTTTTACCTCAATATTTAATCATGTAAAAATATGATGTCTATTACGTATACTATAATATAAAAAAACACACATTTGATATATTTGAATCCATAAACAAAACAACCCCACTTTGCCATTGCAAAAAAAATCTGAAATTTTACTTAGGTACATAGGTATATACAGTTTTTAACTAAGTACACAGCAAATGCTTATATATATTTCTTATGTAACAATAAAGTTCCTTTCGTATCCTCAAAACAGTGTCGGGCCATAAGTTTTTTTTCAGGCAATCAAACTTGCATGCAATACAGCGATTACGGTTATGGCCCGGGAAAGCGAAATCTGGACCAAACGTCAATTTAGGTGTCGCTTTTGCGGGAACGGTCAAGCTACAGTGAACACTGAATTTAGCGTTCCCGGGACTCTCAATACACAAGAAAAACAAAGAAATGTGAGGAGTCGTCCGATACCGTAGTCATGGTAGAAATTTGATAAATAAATAAATAAATACGTTATTTTTCCTTATCCTGACTCATGCTTATTGCTTGTCTCCCTTTCCTTCCAAATGCTAGTGGAACACTTGAATTCCCTTTTGAAGCTCCCTTAAAAAAAGCGGACGTAAAATCACTTACCAGGAGTCATCTCCCTTCCCCAGGTTTTGGCGGGAAACGGCGCCACCTGTCACCCATGCTCCTCACTCTCTCCTGATTCGCCCGAGTGGGAGGTTGTGAGAGCGCCTGGTCCCCTATATGGCATTATATCCTTTTATTATTTAGGCCTTTCTTCTAAATTAGCTGTATAAGGCTTTAGTTAACGTTTACCTACAATATTCTACGGAATTAATTCTCAAATTTCTGTTTTATCACGTTTTACGTGACTGTTCAGATTGTTTACAATTGATGAAATCTTGTTCTGGTTGTAGGTATAGATTGTCTGCTGTTGATCCACATTACCTATGTCCTATTTGCAAGACCGTATGACTCTCGTCAGTTGTGTTTTCACCTTGTCGGATATTGCATTTTATAAATATTCATTTTATCTGTCTAGACGTGCAAAGGACAGGTCCAGACGAGATTTACACGACATGTCTAAACCGGCTAAGCTTGCAGAGGACCGGCAGTTGGTGGCTGCGCAGATTCACCATTCCAGTGGTCTACCGGGGTCGTCTACGGAGGAGGTCGCTGCTGTAGACAACGCTGGCTCAAGGAAAAGGTCATCTACATCTGATAATTCCTCATCGCAGTCTAAGAAGACTAGGGCATCATCTTCCCAGAGGAAGAAGTCAGCTACAGCTAAGACTTCGTCGAAGTCTCCACATGGGGCAACGCAGAAAACGAGGTCTTTTCAGCTGAGATCGTCCCTCTGGATGAAATAGATGTCTACGATGAGCTGCCCATCCTCATGCCTGAGATCACATCTAAGAAGAAGACGAAGGCGTCTTCTACCGTGACCACGCAGGACAACCATTCAACATAGACGTTCGGCAGAGAGGTTCAACGCCCTTCGGAAGAAGCCTCATCCGTCTCAGATGCGTCGTCGTCACAACAGACAACGCAGACCTTCAACCCGGGCTCCTTTATGCAGCAATTTACCCAACAGATGTTGGATCTGATGGAACAACGGTTCGCACGCGAGAGAGCTGCGACGAAGACAACGTCTGCGACGAACCCGATTGAAGGTCAACTGAGCTGCACACCACGTCCGTTGGGAACCAACGTCCTGCAGTGCGTACATGAAGATTCCAGCTTGACTACAGCGTCCGCATCGAATATCTGGCAGCCATACCAACGTGGAACCTGCACCGACTACGTTCGGCGAAAGGACTAGACGTTCGCCGAACCCACTTAGATCATCATCGACTTCAGATACAGACATTCGTCACGAACCTGCACGTAACGGTTTGTTACCAAGGAGAAGAGAATCAACACCCGCACGAAGGCACAGAGATTCGTCACAAGACTCCAACCCTCGACAAAGCCGTTCACCTACACGCAGGTTTGCGCGAAGGCGCACGATCATCTCTATCTCCACACAGGTCCTCATGAAGGAAGTCACGAACACATTCATGAACGTATGGTTCGCCACGAAGGTCACCACGCAGGTCTCCATACAGATCACCACGCAGGTCACCACGTAGATCGTCATACAGATCACCTTACAGATCTCCTCTTTCAGACGACACTAGAAGACATCAATCCTCAGAGCAGGAAGATGACGGCGGAATTATATTTTCCGACTCTGAAATCAAGTCATGGATGGCCAACGGTTTGGAACTCGCATCACCCTCTAAGGAGGCCAACGAAGCACTATCGTACTTGATGTTGAATGATGATATAGACACACTCACGATGCCACCTATCGACCCTGTGTCAGACGTTCCAGACAACCTCAGCACAGCCTTCAAGAAGGCAACTAAATACCAGTTCAACGCAAAGAAGTTCTCTCTACACCATATGGAACCCTTCATGAAGGCCCCAGAGATAGACGAGAATTATAAGATCATCAACGACACTCGGACGAAATCTTACAAGATAGAAGATAAAAAGCTGGCACAGTTAGACACAGTAACCAGACGAACCTTCTTCGGCCTAGCCAGGTCAAGGGCTATCAATGAGACCCTCATCTCGAAGTTTAAGAACTCAACTTCAGAGGAAGATCAAATGATTTATTAAGCTCTACTTACACGGAAAAAGGATCATCAGTTCATGTCTGAACACCTATCATCCATTTCTGCAGGCTTAACGTTATCAAGAAGGCAAGGACTGTTATCTTCCTGTACTTGGAGCGAGAAGTTTACCAAGACACTCTACAGAGCCCCTTGGTCAGCACCATCCATCTTCGCAGGAGAAATTGATGAAGTCGCCAAAGAAGTTGCTAAAGATTCCAGAGAGGTGATGATGATCAAGTCTATCGATACACTGGCCAGTGTGATATGTCAGACCTCCCAACGTTATTCCGGCAAATCGAAGTTTGCAGGCATCCAGAGAGCAAGGGATAAGAAATTAGGCAACGCTAAAGGGAATAAGGATTCTTTTCGTCGCCCATCTGCAGCTCCAAGAGGTAACTACGGAAGAGGTCGGCCCTTTCGAGGTGCCAGAAGTTCCAGACGATGAAAAACGGGTTCGGGAACGACTGGAGTCTTCCACCCCCAACCG